GCAATACTATGATAGATGCTAACTAGACAAACATTTATCGCTGACGTGTTGAATTTTCGTCAAAAAAGGATGCTACGTGGAAATGTTCATTTTTCATCTTGCAATTACATGGAAAAAGGAAATAAACTAAAAAAATCGTCTTCTCAATGGAGGTGAATCCCTCCGGCCCCTAGCTCCGACCGACATCGTGAAATGGCCACCGATTCCCCAACATCTAGCAATCTCATCTCCTCTCTCTCTTTCATTACTCATTGGAAGAAGAAGGATGAACGATGTTCAAGAAAAAGATCGTCATTAATCTTTCAACAATGAAGTCCGTTCTCGAAACTTCCTTCCTCAATATCAAGAAACTGAAACCCTAATTTCCGGTATCTCCTTCTTAGACTTCCTCCCTGAAAAATCCCAAATTGACCACTTGAAAATACAAATTGCCACTATCTCCATCCCACACTTCATCCATGGTGGGCTGGGGAGTAACAGAGGCTAGCAGGGAATCCGCTCTCCTCTCGTCAATGTTGTCTTGGAGTAACCGGCCAACATATTTTCTCAGAGGAAGAGAAAGGAAGAAGAAGAGTAGGAGGGGGTCGATTAAAATGAATTTATTTTTTTCTTTCTTTTTTGAGAAAATTATTCGAAAGACACTTTTGAAAAATTTATGTCCCAATACTTTTGTTTTGGAGTTGCTGATTGATTTATGTCCCAATACTTTTGTGGCTACAGAATACATCTGTGTATTTTTTCAAAAGTGATTATTATTGTCAAAACGTGGATAGTTATGATTATCCAGATGTATTTTTCCAAAATTAATGAACTTGGAGAATAAATATGTTTTTATCTTTTAAGTACACTACAACAAAACTCATTTATAGCGGCTAAGAGAAATTGCCTCTATAAGTCTATTATTTGCCACTGTATATATTTAGAGGCAGATAATACATTTGCCTCAAATATAGTGGCAAATAGCCATATAGAAGAAAATATATCAGCATATATAATTTGTTGCGGATTAAGGATTTGGTGACTAATATATTAGCTGCTAGTGTCACTTTTATTTTGCCTTTATATCCAATATTAGAGGCTTAAATATTTGCCTCTAAAATAATCCTTAGTGGCTATTAAACTTGAATCAAATAGTATCTATAGAGGCATATATTTTTGTTTCTGAATTTAGTTAATGATGCTACTAAATTTGCCTCTGATATTATTTATAGAGGCAGATAGTGTTGCTTGTGAAATTAATTTTTAGAGGCTAATAGATATGCTTTTGTATTGATTTATTATAAAAGTAAATGATTCATAAAGATGAATACATGTAGTTGAACACAGAGCATTGAGAGTACATAAGTGCGAAAAGTATTGGGACATAAATCAGCAACTCCAAAACAAAAGTACTATGACTCGAGAGTTAAGGAACTCAAATTTGCAGAACTTGCATTCAATTATTTAAATCGAGAAAAAACACACGTAAAAACACTGAAATCAGATGGAAACAGTAACCAACATTGCGCATGCAAATAACACAATTTGCAGGCTGATGCCGATGTGTTCGAAAGGAATATCTTCTCCGTCGGACACTGAGGGGGATTTCACTTCTTTGTATTTGGGTTCTGAACGTGATCAAAAGAGTTCTTCTTGACCCCTAAACCCTAGTTTCAAAACCAACAAGCAATCAAGCAAGAAAGTATAAATTGAACATATAAAAGGTCAGAAACCTCTACGGATGAACAATTTGAAACCCAAATTGAACAATACCCAATTTTAGCTTCAAAACTCTACGGAGGGAAAGCAACTGCGTGCTGCCGGCGTTCTCGCTGTCAGCTGCGGGGAGTCAGTGGGAGTACTAGCCAAAGAGGGATGCAAATCTAGCGAAGTTGAGTCGTTGTCGATGTCAAGGCGACTGAGAGGCTGGCGGCGAGAATAGATATATCATTGCCTCAAGTATCTTTCACTTCACCATAAGCTCCCCCAACGAAGATTTGTCCTGCGGGTTGCCTTCGCCCAATTTGCCAAAGCCCTATAAAACAGATGCTTGAAATAGATCCAAATTTGTTCCCCTATGGTCAACACCACCCCACTCTCTCTCTCCCTCTCTCTCTCTCTATTTCTCTCTCTCTCTCTCTCTCTCTCTCTCTCTCTCTCTCTCTCTCAAGGCCACACTGGGCCGAAAGAAGCGTTTTTCTCTCTTCGTTCATTAGTGCGGCTGGAGAGTATGATCAATGATGTAGAAGGGTGAAATTCCCCATCCCGCTTGGTGCTTTCCTCACTTTTGAATTTTCAAAATCCCGTCTAATTATATATTTCAACTTTTATGCCACAACTTTCCCGCTCCCACGTTAGTTCTTTTTAAGTTTTAAATTTCTAATCAAAAGGAAACTCTGCACTAGCATTTTTGTCTTGTATATATTAGAATAATATATTTTATTAGTTTTGCAAATCTACTCTTCTGCCTCTAATGTTATGCGTTCTTATATTAACTTTGGATGAATTGCAAGTTTGGTCGCCCATATTACTAATTTGTAACACGTTAGTCACCCGAAATCATTTTCGATTCAATTCAGCCACTAATAATACACCTTTATGTCATTATTGGTCACTTGCCGTTACACTCCGTCAACGTCGTTATATTTATGCTTACGTGGAAAATGGGGGTGCCAAGCTGGAAGACAGAATGCTGAGTTAGAGGGTTTAACTCCGAACAATATACCTGACTCGCACACTCTGGAAAATGCCTGCTATTAAACTAAAAACCCGACCCGTTCTCCCAACCCAATTAAGTATAAAAAATTAAAATAGAGTGGATAAGGGCAGAAGAAACGAAAGGCCATCGTCATCTCCCTTTCTTCTTTCTCTCGTTCGAATTTTCAAAGCAGGGGAAGATTGCGTGCATCTTCCTCTTTGAATCTTTCTTCCGCCGGCTATTTCTTCTCTTCTTCTCTTTCGTCCGGTTACCCAGGCGTCACAAGTTTGCTAAAATTGTGATTATGACATGGATGGCAAAAAGTGAAACCCTAAATCCATCTATTGAAGTTTGTTGCTGATTCATTTTCTTTACTCTTTTTTTCGGGGGTAGGCATGCAACAAAGGAGCAATTCTGAAGGTACCTATTTTGTTAATGGAGTTTGTTTTGGATTCAGTGTGGGTTTCTTATAAACAAAACGAAAGGGAAAAAGGACAACTTCGGGTTTTCCAGGTGGATGTTTGATTCTTTAAACTTAAATTGCAAGTTGGTGTTGTTTTTCCAGGTTGTCCGAATCTTCATCGAGAATCATGGTGGGTCATGTGCGTCCCCCAATGGTTCCCTACCCAACTATCGTAGGTTCCGTCGCTTTCAATTTTTTCTTTATGCTGGAGGGCATTTCCAAACGTGTCATTTTGTTCTTTTCATAAATGTCTTTTGCTTTTAACCCACACCTGTCTCGCATTCACTTTCTTACTTGCTGCTCACTAAGAATTTGTTAGTAACCAACAGGTGCATGCAGTGGTGAGTTTTCATTCGATGTTCACGTAGACCACGAGTTGAAAAAGAAGAGTGGCAAAAACTTCTTGAAGGAGAAAAGAACTGTGTTCTATGACTATGTCGACATTGATGAGTTGTCTCTCCTGGACTTGCCTGAGTTCTAAGAGAAGTGTAGTGGGAAGATTAAAAATCCAAGATTCTATTGGAAAGCTCCCTCCAGTGAGTCAATGTTGGAGATTTCTACGATGGTGACTTGCTGGACATGGCTGCAACACCTAATGATCGTCCTCGAATCATTGGGCTGTTTTCCATTGGAGCTTATGAAGTGGAGGATTTTTTTAGTAGTGATGTGGATGAAGATGCAGCCGGCTATTCGACAAAAGAAACCTTACTTTGTGGTGCTTCCAATGAAGATGATGACGAATACAATGCATACGAAGAAGAAGATGATGATGCTGATAGTGACTATGAGGGTGATTCTGAAATGGCCAGCACTGATCATGAAAAATGAAGAATTCGAGGAGAATCGCAATATGATGCAGAAGCTGATTTGGGCAGAATTATTGGTGGAGACCCTCAAGTTGGGGAGGTAGAGGAAGTAGAGGAAGAGTAGGATTTTGTCGATTCCGATTACCGTAGAACTATTCAGAGTTCAGAGGATGACTCCGATGATGCACACATGTCTGAGTTTCGTGTGGATCGAGACATGGAGAACCGAAAGTTCTCACTTGATGGAAAATTCAGCAGCAAACATCTGTTGGTATAGGCGATAAAGACACATTATTTCATTGAGCATCGACCAATCTCTTTCAAGAAGAATGATCGAAAGAGGCTAACACAGTGTGTGAGGAACCTTGTGAGTGGTACATTTGAGCATCCAAGAAAGAGCATGCAGATGTTGTACAAATCACAAGGTGTAAATTGGAGCACTCAAGTGATTGTAATATGACTTTCAATAATAAATTTGCAACCTTCTTTGGAAACAAACTCTCAACAAAGATGGCAGCCGATCAGAAAATGAGCAAAAACTTGTTGAAACAAATAATGAAGAAGACTACAAGGGAGAGGTTGGAGATATGAAGGCATACAGGATTAAGAAGACAGCGACTGACTTGGTGCATGGGATGTACAAAGAACAATTTCGAAGCTTCTACCATTATGCGAAATAGTTACGAAGGAGCAACCCCAATTTAACTGTTGTTGTTGAGCAGAGATTCCCGAATTTTCACCATATGTATGTTTGCTTTGAAGCACCGTATGAATGTTTGCCACTCAAGGCTCGCAGATAGCAAGCCAATTGACTCGGCTGAAGAATCCTTGAAGATTAGAAGAAGTTAATGTAGGAGTGGTTGTTTAGGTAGTTCTGGTATTTTGGTTAAATCGTATGACGATGTACCCTTTGGGTGAACAAGTAGTTGTAGTTATATTAGCCTCATTTTGGTAATCAGTTGCCTATTTGGTGAACTAATGCAGTCTTTGATTGATCTTACAAATCGGATGATGACTTGCTCTTTTTGTGATCTTTCTAGACTATAATCTAATCCGATGATGACTATTAAGAATGATAGCAAGCCTTTTGTTCTTTGTCTTCCACCTTTTGATTTCCAAGCATGCTTATTAACAATGATAATGTACTTTTCTTTCGTGACATTCAGCTTTCCATCACCAGATACTCAACAATATTCAAAGTACATGACACAGCACACATTACACCCTGCAAGTTAAACACAAACACAATTAACATTCTGATTATGATTAATAACAAATACAATAAGCATTTAAAATCCGATTATAGCAACTGTGAATACACATTGCATTCCCCATCAGGCCCACTCATTCTTAATTCCCTATCAAATTTGACTACAGATTGCATTCCCCCATCAGAACCATTCTCAATTCTCTTTCCGAATGTAAAAGAACATAGCTACAGAGAAAAGGAAGAGTAGCACTTCTTTGCTACTAAAAGTCGACACTGACACGACCCGATCCTTTTTGAAAATCAAACCGTAACGCAAACCAAAAACCAGTTACTCCGGAGCAACCCAAACAACTTTTTAGAATAAATAAACTGACAATGTTTAAGAATTTCAAACAAAAAGACTAAACACTTGGGCAAATGACAATCCCAATACTTAAAATGAAAGAACCCAGGATCTCCAGTTTACACTCCTAACCATGTAACAAAGAAATTAAACTATTCTAGCTCTAACTCTTCACGAGTTCCTTGACTTCTCATCAATGCTGGTGCAGCTGCTCGCATCACCTTGCCTCTTCTCGTAGTCCGCCTCTGCTAACCCTTCCTCGACCTCGTGAGTGAGAAGAGGTCAGTCTCGTCGTTACTTCCTAAGGTCTTTGCCCTAGGCAAACTCCTTACTAAACACATTATTAGGGGAATGCCTTCCTTAGACGAAAGTCGTTATCACTTTCATCCTTTAAACTTTACTATCAAATAGTCTATAAGAGATCTTGATAGACCGATAATTACACATGTTTTCACCCCTATTCTGAAGCCGTTTGAGATGTGGATTCTCGTGTTTTAAGCCGATTTCACGCTAGGTTGTGTGTTTATGTCATATTTCAGGACCCGGCGTTGGAATCGAGGCGGAGAAACGAGTTCTGGGTCGAAAGGTGCAAAGTTGGGACGAAGGGGGCTGCTGAAGGAAAATACCCGGCCATGACCAATAATACCCGGCCGGGTATTATCATTTTGAGCGCCCGTGAGGATCAGAGAGGGGCCCGGGCGTGAAGGCAAAATCCCCGGTCAGGGATTATTGAGGCAGACCGGGGATTTTCCCTCTGCTAAAACGCGCATTTTGAATAATACCCGGTCGATACCCAAAATACCCGACCGGGTATTTCGACCGGGTATCGCGACAGGCAGCCAATTTAAAGGAGAAGAAGGCCAACATTCAAAGGTTCCGAGTTTTAGAGAGACAGAGCGATTCCTAGAGAGAGAAAGCGACGAACCAGAGTTCCCAAGTGCCATAGCTTGATCTTCATCACCATTGGAGCCCGGCTTGAGCTTGGAGAAGTGCCGATTAACGTCCAGGAGCAGAAATCCATCTTCATAGTATGATTTCCGCGTCTGAATCTGCTTTTGCTTCTTTCTCCATGGAGTAGTTTCCCCATTCATCTGGGTATGGAGAACCCTAGATTTGTATGCTAGGTCTGATTGTATGAACCCAAGTACAGAGTTTATGAATTGATTATATTCGATTGAGGTTTGAATGATTGAATGACTTGAATCCTAATCAAATTTCTGTTGTTTCTGCTTTGACCTAGAATGAGAATATCTGCCTAGGTTGATAGAGTATCCTTAATTGAAGGTAGTGAATTGGTGACTTTAGTAGAGGAGCCAATTCGCTATTCTGTACCGAATTCAATTCGGTAGTGGAGGTTTGATTCGTTAAAGCCTCAATCTGTTTACTCCGGTGGAGGTTAGTCGCCCGCTAGAGACTCAGATTGAGAGGGTCTGGAGACCTTTAGTCGAGACTTCAGGCTATTTAAGAACCTTCCGCAGTTTAACTTTCATGAAAACTGAACTTGGTAAATTGCAATCCGGCTTAACTGCAGTCTAGGGGGAACCATATCCGGGTGACCTCTCTTGACTTGAACAACCGTTTAACTTGCTTTGCGTTTTTGTTTGTTTGAACCTGCACTAAAGTTTCACTGCTAGATAACAAGAATTCACCGAGTAGTCATCAAATCTAGGACCCGGGTTGACAATAAAACCCAAACCCGCTATACTACGCTTTAGGAAGTGGTTATACTTGGCCATTTTCTAGAGTGACAGTAGGAGTGAGTCATATCTCTACTCCTATCTTATCTTTAGAATTCCCTTACTTATATTCTTAATCCAAAGACACCAACACAAGGGACCACCGCGTTACGTCTCGTCGTCTGGTGTCCCTACCCTAGTATGCCAACCGCGTTACATCTCGCCGTTCGGTTGCATACCCAAACTCGGCAATGGCACTGCGTTACGTCTCGCTGTCCAGTCCATGCCCATCAACTACTGCGTTACGTCTCGCCGTCCAGTAGTGACCCCAACATACTCGATCAACTGTTGCGTTACGTCTCGCCGTCCAGCATTGATCCGACCATCTACCGCGTCCAGTAGTGGCCCAACCGCCCGAGGGTTCCTCATACCATTAACCATACAACATCACATACATTCGTACATAGCAAAACGCGTGCCTCCACCCTTACAGGCGGTGGGATGCCTCAAACACATATCGCGCATTACTCAAAATTAACTCAATATAACTTGAAACAAAAGGCGTAAATTAAAAGACCTACGACAGAGATTTTACCCCCTTTACACTCACCTTATTCTCCGATGTTGCTTCTCGTAGTAATTCGATGTCTTCATATGATATTAAATTCCCTCTTCATTCTCCACGTATGACCAGCTCCATGCATAAAAGTTCAAGTTAGTGGTGAAATTCTTGAACTACATGTGGCTAAACCATGCACCACTCTACTTCACTACTTGATTTCACGTGTCCCTAATTCCATGTGCACTAATCAATAAACTTCATCACCAAACCCAACCTCAAAGTCTACCCTCCAAACCATATATATACACACGTCTTCCACTGTGCCTTTGATTTCCAAGCCCTGCTCTTTAATTTAGCTAGCGTGCATTCATGTTACTATCAAGACTAATGTATATACCTATAACCCATGCACAAAACGTAGCCACCATAGCATACCCCGCTGTCTTGCCACTCCACTTTATCAGTCCATGTTGTTACATGCATTCCATTGTCCCCAACCGAATAATTCAACTATGCATGCACATAGCCTAACCGCTTCAAATACGGGATCCCTAGGATCAACAAATGGCTTTTTTTTCTTCTTCTAATTCCCTGGGCATGATTTTCCCTCAATCGCACCAAGTTTATACACGCAGACATAGGAGTATGAAATTACCCATTCATGAATCTCAATCCCTATGAGCCAGACCCAAATTAATCCACATCAACATCATCAATAATCGAGAGATATAGGCCATGATCGATTACCTTTATACCAATTTCTTTTTCCCTTGTTACACTGCTACTCCTCCGTAGTCTCTCGGACGCCCTCGCTCCTATTTGTCTTTGTACCAATCTCATCGTCGATAGAAAGGCACCAGCTTCCGACTACTCGCTGCTCCGCTTTGCCTCTCGTACTGGGGGGAAAACAAGGGTGGCGGTGGTTTATTTTTGCTGGGAAATTGTTGCTGGGGGAAGAGAGGGATCGTGGGGAATTTGGGTTAATGAGGGCTCGACCCTCTTTGCCCCCCCCCCCCCCCCCCCCCCTTTTTTAATATAACAGTAATAATAATAACTATTATTATTATTATACTATTATTCATAATCCCCGGTTGCAACTCTTCGTACATACTCGTTAAACCAACTGTTCACGTATTATGGTCGAACCTGAACCTAAATTATCGGGGTTTTACAGACACCCTCCCTTGCTGTCTATTCTCCAGGTTGCGCAACTGACGATGAAGGTGGAGAACCAAATACTTCACGTTCTCATCAAGAGCCGGGTCATGCCATCTAAAGTAGTTGCAAGCTCCCGTTCGGTGTACATGTGCAAAACAAGGAAAAATGAAATTGATAAGCCAGCGCTTGAACGGAGCAGCAGAAGAAAGAAAAGCACTGTAAGAAGAAGAAGAAGAAGAAGAAGAAGAAGAAAGAGAGGAGCAGAGGAAGAAGAAAGAGAGCTTACTTAAAAACAGATGAAAAGGGCAACGGGATAATTGGGAGAGGGAAGATAATAACCACAATTATCAAAATAACATGGTAACATAGATAGCACCCAATCCGATTTCTAGGAAGATAGTTCTATAATAGTCCAACTTGCTTGTGCTTTAATAGATGTAATTTAATAATTATAATTATAATTATAATTCCACGGAAGTAGACTTCTCAACGCATTTTCTTATTGTTAAAACATATCAATGCACACTTAGGTAGAGTTTGTCGAAAGAGTATGTATAATAATACTAATTTGTGGGGTATGTTTGGAATATACGTTATGTCCCACATCACATGCATGCAGTCGTACGTCTCTTGTATTCAGATCACACAAACAAGAGATTAGAAACTGCCACATGACATTAAATTATTTTGCCTGCCTTTCATCAAAGTACAAGAATAGAGAACAAGAAGAAGACACATATTTTTTTTTCTTTCTTCCATATGACATTTCAGTCTAATGTACTGGTGGGGGCAAATCAGCATAGTACAAGTTAATGCATCATGAAGTTAAAAAAGACTTGAATTTCCTCCACTCTCCAATTCATGTCTGCCTCGTTCGGAAAATATTGATTCGGTTACAAATTTTCATCTGTGTTCATGAATATTCATGAAATCCGGATCTTCTCAATTGCTCACTTGTTGAATGGACATCCCGTCATTATAAAAAGAAAAGAGAAGAAACTAACCGATAAAAGTTGCTAAACCAAAGTTTTAATTGGTGCTTCTCGTCATCATCTTCTTCGTCAAATCAACATATATCATTTCGACGAAACCCGAAATTAGTAGTGGGACAAGCTGCACGATGACATTTCAAAGATAGTCACTGTACTACTTTGGTCGTGTAATTTGCCATCACCATCCCCTGGATAATTATTACGGCTGCTAATCAAAGTAGGAATTTCTTCTACTTCAAGCAACCTCATTTTCTTCGCCGGCGTCGGCTCCAGGTCCTCAAACCCTCTGAAGGAAAGCCCCTTCCCGATGGAATAATATTCAAAGGCGTCGTCGGCAGAAGACGCCGTCATTTCCCATTTCGAGTACCTTGGAGTGCACGCTTCCTGTTTATGATAATCATTTCCTCCTCCTCCAGCTTCCACGTTAGCGTGACCTTCGTGTCCTAGGGACGCCAGGCATGCCTGGAAATCGTATCCCCCGTAGCCGTCGTGCCTGGAAGCGGAGTGCCACTATTCACTCTTAGTAATTAATACATTTTCCCTTCGCATATCAATCGTGTTTACAGTCGTTTACCCGTTTTCTCCGTGGTCCCGGTCCGGTCTCGCTTTGGGTTATACGGTTCGATTTCAGATATAACCAAAAATCCCCAACCAAATAGCCACCCCTACTTAGGATCGTTGGACCATTTTTTCCGGTTGTGTCAGACTTGAACATAGTTTTTGCGAGTTTAGGGTTTGGTTGGTATTTATCCCTGTTTTGCAAATAAGTACTTGGATTTGTTTTGTATAACTGCGTATAGTCGTTTCACCGCCTTTTCTTTGTTGTGTTGGGGTTGCAAATGGTTTTTGGTTTTTTTTATGCCGGATTTTATGATCTATTGTATTTGACTATTTTTTTCCTGCCGAAATTTATCTTGGATTTGTTTTGTGTAGCCGCTTGGAGTCGTTTCTACGCCTTTTCTCTGTTGTGTCGGGGTTGCAAATGGTTTTCGTTTTTTTGCCGAATTTTATGTTCATTTTGTTCATCTAACATGTGACCCTTTGTAATTAACCATAAGTTTGTTTATATTTTTTTTTTCTTATTCCTTTATTCTATCTGTCCAAAGGTTGTCAAAACGCAGTGTTGACGAGTTTTGTGTTTGCAACGGTTTGTACATGTTTTTTTCCAATTTACGGGATTGAGCCCGTTGTGGATTTTGTTGAGCAAAGAAGACTTGATGTTGAATAGTTTTGTTGCGGGATTGGGTTTTAGTGTTTTTCTAATTCAACATGGTCAAAGCAAGTTTAACCTAGGGTTGTCTGGGAATGAATTGTATCTGCTTTTGTAATAAACAAACTTGGTCGGGTGTGATTTTGTTAAGAATTAGCCGCTCTTGATCAACTGGTCAAAGCGAGTTCAATCCAGTGTTGTAGAATTTAGGACCAGGGACGAGTTTTATCCGCTTTTGTAATTAACGGATTGGGCACTGAATTTGACCCGATCAAATTGAGTTTAACCCGGTGTTGGCGAAGATTGGGTCAAGAACTAACTTGACCCACTTTTGTAATAAACATATTGCGTCTAGTTTGGATTTTGTTAAAGAGCCGAATCGGGGCGACTCCGTTCTTCTTCTTCTTCAACATTGGGTGACCAATTTGCAACTAATCTTTGAGGGTCTTTTTTGTTGCTTTTCCTTCTTCTCCTCTTCCCAGCTACACAAAGCCCTTCTCTCTCCTTCTTCTTCTCCTCTTTCATCTTTCTCTTTTTCTCTTTCACTAACCCAACCCTCCATGTCACTTGATGAAGAAAGGAACAAAATAACCCGCTTCTTCCTTTAAGAAGAAGCAAGGAGGAATATTAACTACAGGTCTGTAGGGGCGTCCCGACGTTGACGACTATGATGGTGAGGTGGCGGAGGTGGTTTAGGGGTGTAGCGCCCGGCAGTATCGAGCAGAGTCGGGTGACTAGAGCACAACGACGATGTAGATGGTAGTGAGGCACTGTGATGACCTGGAGCTAGCTGTCGTCAACGAGATCGACGACGATGACGGATCGATAGCAACGGCGAGGCTGCTGATCTGTGCAGAGATGACAAGTATCAAATACTGGAGCGGCAACGAGATTTTCTGGATTCTGCGATGGCGTTGCTATGGAGATTTGTGGGAGGTGAAGGAGATTGTAGAGGCTGTCATTTGGGAGCCATCGAGAAGGAATAATGTTTTTCTTTGTGTTTGTTTGATTCCCGCCGGCATTTTCTCTTCCTGCCTCTGTCTCACAGTCGATGAAGTGGAATAAGAAAGCATAGATCTCTAACATCATATGAACTATAAGTTCTCTTTACTTATTTTCGTTTGGATTTCCGTTTGGTTTGTTATTCAGTTTGGTTTCACCATTTATCCTCTTAGACTCTTAGTACTCATGGAAACATATAGGTTTGAAATGATTTTGTGTTGGTTTTACACAGATTGTTTGCAGCTATTTCTCTCGATGTACATGCATCATATCACCTATCACAAGCCCAATAAGATGGAGTTGTTTCCAACATGCCCTTGGTTGCATCAGTCACAACGTAACTATCTGTATCAATATGCACAAAGCAGCAGCCATAAAACACTAGTGGACTTGCAGTGAAACTTCACATTTTATGTTACCGAACCCAAACTTGCCTTCTCCTTATTCATTTTCTTGTGAGTTAGCAGCCAAGATCATGTATCATAATCTTTTTATGTTTAGACCTGCTTATTTTGGGTGTTCTTTAATGTTCGTGTAGTGTATTAGGGGAATTATTGCTTCTACAAAGCTGTCCGTGTTGGTGAATGGAGAAGCGGTGGGTTTCTTCGGTATGAGCAGAGGTGTTAAGCAAGGGGACCCCCTCTCTCCCTTCCTGTTCAGTTTGGGGATGGACTTTCTTTCCTTTATTCTGAATAAAGTTAGCGAGTCTGGTCTCGTTTCCGGGTTCTGCGTTGATGAATTGAATCGGCGTGGAGAAGTCGTCCATCTTCTGTACGCCGATGATGCCATCATCTTTTGTGATGACAGCGAATCTGATGTTATGAATGTCCTGGCTTCTCTTGTTTGCTTTCAGAGCATCACTGGCCTAAAAGTTAATCTTCATAAGAGCAGGATTTTCCCTGTCGGAGAGGTGGAAAACATTGATAGATATGCTGATCTCCTTGGCTGTGAATGGGAATTCCTACCAACCGTCTATCTGGGGCTCCCTTTGGGGGCTCACCCGGCATCCCCTGCTGTCTGGAATCAGGTGATTGTTAGAAGTCGCAACAGACTGGATGGATGGAAAGGAAGATATTTGTCCTTGGGTGGGCGTGTGGTACTGATTAACGCTGTCCTCGCCAGCCAGTGCAGTTACATGAGCTCCCTTTTCCTGGCGCCGATGACCGTTATTAAGTCGTTGGAAAAACTACAAAGGGACTTTCTGTGGAGAGGGAACTCTGAAAAGGAAAAATACCACCTGATCTCTTGGGATCTTTGTAAGACTCAGAAAAGTAGAGGTGGTCTGGGGATTCGTGATCTGCATTTGCATAATAAAGCCCTTCTCCTTAAATGGCTGTGGCGGTTTGCTTCTGAGAGACAAAGTTGGTGGAGGGAACTTGTCGATCTAAAGTATCCAAACCTGATTTCGGATTGGTTTTCTGATCAAGTTCCTCGGTGTATGGGTTGCAGCCCTTGGGCTCAGATTTGCAAGCTTAAAAATATCTTCTGGAAGATGGCCCAAGTGGAGCAGGGCTCTGGAACGCAGACTTCCTTCTGGTACGATGTCTGGGCTAAAGGAATCTGTCTGGCTGATGAATACCCCAGGGTGCTGGCTGCTGCGGAGGCCCCGAGCTCTCGAGTTGCAGACTATGTTCATCGCAATGGTGAGGTAGTTTATTGGGAAATTCCTTTAAAATTCTTTCTTCGGGGTGGGGCTGAGAGAGAGCGTGAGAGGCTTGTGTGTTGGCTGGAAAATTTGTCCGTGTCTTTCTTTGCTGCAGGTCAGGCGATACTAATCTGGCATCCTGCACCCTCATCTGGCTTCTCTGTGCGGTCGGCCTTTGAGGAGCTGACGCTCGAGACTTTTGCAGGCTTGGAGGGCTTCCCGCACAAGTTTGTGTGGCAGAGCACTATCCCAAGCAAGATTTGTATCTTCCTTTGGTTAGTGTTCCATAAAAGGATCCTGACTTTGGATAACTTGAAGAAGAGAGGTACTAGCTTGCCGAACAGGTGCCCGCTTTGCAAACAGGAAGAAGAAAGTATAAATCATATCTTCGTGAGCTGTAACTTCGCGTCGGAGCTTTGGAGTATCCTGAAATTTTTCATTAATATTGAGGATGAGATCCATAGAGCCCCGGACATCACCGTTAGGATCAGCTTGTGGAAAAAGATCAAGCCGACGAATCCAGCTCAATGGGCTTCAAGAGTGTTTCTCCACGCCTTCTGCTGGATGATTTGGTTCGAGAGAAATGCGAGAGTGTTCAAAGAGGTGGAAGCTCCCCCTCGTGTTGTGGCTTTCAGAATTGGGAGTGTCATTGTCCAATGGTTGAATGCAGCTAAGAAGGTGGACAAAATGATCTCAGAGTGCTGGCTTAATGTCTTGAAGCTAAGGCTGTTTCCTCCCAGGGTCTGAGCCTTTTGTGCTGCCCCTTTGCGTCTCTGCTGCCGCCTTTGTGGGATTTGCTGCTTGGAGACCCTGCTGTTGTTGCTTATTCTGGTACTTTGCTTCTTGGTGCCCCTACTGCAGCAGGTTGCCTGTTTGTTGTTGTTGTTTTTGTTTCTATTTGTTTCTTGGCGCCTCTGTCGGACTGATCAGTGGCGCCCCCTCCCCCCTTTTTTGTACTCGTGGCGTTGTGTCTGCCGGGGGTGTTTTGCGTCTTGCTTTTTGCGGCTTTGTTCTTCTTCTTTTTGTTTGTCTGTACCTTTTTTTCCAACTTAATTTATATCATCCTCATAAAAAAAAAATGTTCGTGTAGTGTAGGTGCAAGGTGTTTGATTTAGTTTAATTACATTTTAGAATGAATTGCTTATTTGACTGATTTTATACCTAATTCAACAATCCATTTGTATCCTAATGGAATTCGTTTAGCAGGATTGTTGTTGTTTATATGTTGTCTTCGTATGCTATGAATCGATCAAATTATTTTAGAGGTTTCATAGATAGTTCAGTTGGCAGGGGAACTCCAGATGGCTATTACTTTTGTGGTTGGAAAGGAATACCATAATATTTATTTATGTTAAGCCCAAGTATTCTCCTAGGAGACATGGTAATGACGAGACTCGTAATAGTGAAGTAGAGTTCCTCGAATTCCTTATGTATGCTTTTGGGTGCTTCTAACACACACATCTATATGGTATATATATATTGATTTCTCATTTCCACCTTTTCTTCCATTTATTAGATAATTAGAGTTTTTTTGTCTTTTTATGAGTACACTCCTTGCTTTGTCTACAATTACGACTCAACATTCTTTCCATTATTTTTTGCTTTATTATTTATCGTATATGTGTCTTCATCTTTATTGTCTTTACTTTTTAATATATTCACTTAAGCCAAAATTAATAATTCACGTCTCACACCCATGATTATAGATATATTTATCTATACTCGCAGATTAATAACTACGCTACCTGTCGTTTCGCCGTCCAGCGCGGGCTTCTGTACTAGTTATATATTAATTGGTATAAGGTAGAACCTTTATGTGGCAAATGGATTGGATTCGTGCATCCAAATGACATTCATAGTCTCGGACTAATGTGTAAATTTTGAAAAGTTTGGGTATACTAAAATATCATAATGAAATTTTATGTACCAAAATGTAATTTTCCAATGACATTTTTTGTATAAAAATAAATTTTAGGTACCAAAATGTAAAATATAAAAATCATAGGTATTAAATTATAATTTGTCATTTGGATTCATAGATCAATCCATGAATCCATCAATCCAAGGGGATTTGGATCACATGGATTCGATTAGTTGGATATTTAAGTAGATGGATTTTGATTGGATTAGTTTGGCCCTGCTCCAGCTTTTGCAGAAGCAGCTTCTGGCTGGAGCCTTTAGATAAGTACTTTTCAAAAAAGACAGTTTAGTATTTGGCTGTAAAACTATTAGAAGTGCTTTTTAATATGAGCTATTGTGCAAAATGACTATAAAGGACTTATAATATAAAATATAAATAAAAATTATAAACAATAAAAAGTAGTCAAAATGGATCTTGTTAGATTTGTTTTATATTAAATAATATGATTTTATAATTTATTTTATTTTTAAAATGATATAAATGAAGGAAAATTATATTTTCTGAAATAAAATTAAAATATGGTAAGGATTATCTTGTATTTTCAAAACAGCTTTTCATTTGGAGCTTCTGCTTTTATGTTATACAAAAGCGCTTTTCGGCGTTTCAAAAGCCGAGCTTTTAAAGGTGTTTGGCCCTGTTTTAGCTTTTGAAGCCGAAAAGCACTTCTAAAAGCTGGGCCAAACATAGGCATTATCGCTGCTTTATTATATTGTTCTGCTGCTAATTATATTGTTCTTTGTTTAGCAACATGTTGTAATTTTTCACTAAATTTAAAGGGTTATATCTCTTTTTTTAGAAACCGGTTGTAATTTTATTTCATCAAAATTAGAGTTTACGGTTGAAAACATCCTTGCCCACTAGCTCTCAATGCAACTCTATATTTCTATAATTGTTCAACAATCAACAGGTAACAAAAAAAAAACAATCAACTCTATATTTCTATAATTGTTTATCAATCAACTCTATATTTCTATATTTCTACAATTATATTTTTATAATTGATCATGTCGTCGGTAACAAAAAAAAAACATTAAGGAATAAAACATGAAAGCTCTCTTTATCTGAAGGCTCTCTCTCTCTTTTCTCTCTCTTTCTCCGACGATCTAGGGTTCGAATTTGGTCCTGGATGGCGGCCTCGCCGTCGGGCTCGTCGCCGACTGGCGAGGGTGTCACTTGGGCGCAGCTTTTCGAGGTATCTCCCGAGAATAGGCTCCATTACCATCCACCGGAGAAGGTGAAGGATGGATTCAGAATTCCGAAGGAGGTGAAGGAGAAGGGTGCGGAGCGGTGGAAGAATTCGTTGATTGGTCAATTCGTGGGCAGTCGACCGGAGATTCCTGCTCTTCAGACATGGGCGAATAGGTTGTGGGGGAGAGACGGTCTGGTGAGGATTTCTCGTTTTGGTTCCAAGCTCATCGTATTTCAATTCCCATCGGCGGCTTCATGCGACTGGGTTTTTCGCTCGGGTCCTTGGCACACTACAACAAATTCAGCCTATTACGACGAGACAATTTTGTCATATTAGATACAAATTTTTTCATATTAGGTATAATATGACAAGAGCTATTGTCACAAAGGTTTGTCATTTTATCACCGTCAGGATAGCTCAAATGTGACAAAAATTTAAAACAAGTTTGTCACATTTGCTTTCAGTATAACTGAGGTTCTGGGTAGTCTATTGTGACAAACAGAGATGTTATGACGACATATTTTGTCATTACGATTATCATAATCTGGTGATTTTGGGAGAATTGTTCGTCATATTACACAATTATATTTTGTCATAACTATATAATGTGACGACTACATTTTGTCACAAGTGTTTATTGTGACGACTTTGTTTTGTCATAACTAAATATAATGACGAATATATTTATCATAACTGCATATTATGACGAGTATACATTGTCAAGATAGGTGGTTTATTTGTCTCATGTCTAATATGACAAGAGAACAATTTGTCAGGCAATGTACATAATGTGACGACATGACATTGTTGTCACATTTGACCTGCTTCAAAATTTTCATAATTCGAAATTGTTTCCTTCATTGCAACCTGATAATGGAAAGATTACCAAAGATCCAAAACATTACAACTATTTCCATATCAGTCTAACTCCTTGTTCAGCATAACCAAACATTCTAAGTTGTTCACCATGACACAAAACATTCTAACTCCTTTGTGAATCTTGGGTTCTCCTTCGGTCCATGCTTCACCTTTTTCTTCGGGACCTTCTAAACAATCTCACGGTTTACTCCTCAAGTCAATGATGATACGGTGATGAGCTCGAGCCGCTTAGACTTCACATGAGAACAATGAAGCTCTGGTCGAAAGGACACGATTTGTGAACCGGTTTTCTCTAAACATTTTCTTGGATTAGATTTTGAAGCTCCTGGTTTTCACACTTTGGTAAACGCTATCCTGTGCCAGGAAAATTCCAGTCAAAATGTAAACCATGTTCTTAGTTTCATGTTCAGAACGTTCTTTCCTATGCCAGAAAAAATTCATAATGGGTTTAGTGAAACCAAACAATACAGCTGAATATATGTAGCAAACATGACTGTTCAATTAAAATATAGCTAAAACAGGTAGTATGATAAGATCATGAGAGTGAACACACCTTTTAAAGAATTATCCATGGAACCAGAGAAGAGTTGGTTAGCTCCAACAACTAATGAGACAACAGCTAATGTATGACCCTTAAGTGATTCAGCTGGCTCAAAGATGCTTGTGGCTGCATTATATATCCATGCCAAGATTGTTGAATCCTACACTAAATATTTTAACAGTTATAAGTTGTTCATCCTATACAACCGCAAAAGAATGACTACAGGCAGCAGGAGGATGAATAGCATCGTCCAGAAGTCTAATGCAACAAAAACATCACTAATATGTCCAAACTTCTGTTTATGAAGTTGAGCCCCAGATAAGGACAGAAAGATCCATAATCCAGTGACATATTACCTGGGTGCCAACAAATAGCAAGCCACTACCCACAACCATAGCATAAACTTGTCCAACAGGCCCACTAAGACTTAGGTCAGCGTTGGTCTGCAAGTTCCATGCATGAAAAAATATGAAAACCCTTAGATATCAATTTGAAAAGGGACCATCATTGGTCACAAAAAGAACTAACTGAGAAAAATGCAGATACTAACTCACTGGCAGACATAAACTAAAAGCAAAGATCAAGCATACTGGGAATCGACTAAATTTCATGTCTTCCTAACCTTCACAAGATTTGGGATACCGACAAAAATCCATGGACCTTCGGTGATCATGCATCCTACTTCACCACCCAGATTGATAACTCCCATGCATTTGATAATCACGACAAGTAAACTATTAGAAAACTTATACAGTAAAAGATTACAGAACAAGGAATGGAGGAACCAAGCAACCTGGCCGGATTGGCAATCCCAAATCCTGACAGTTTCATCTTGCCTCCCCGTCTAAAGCTTATTAGACCTAGATGGCAAAGCAATCCCACTGACAACCTGCTCATCATAACAAGAACAAATCCGATTATTTCAACTTCGGAGTAGGAGAAACAAACTAGATGGCTAGTTTTAATGAGACACAAAGAACAACCATTTGCAGGCACATAATAACAACACGTCAATATTAATGGGAGAGAGAACTGCTACTAACTAATATGTCGTGGGTGAGAGAGAACAAAGCAGAAGAAGAAGGGATAATTTGTTGGCAATTATTAGCAGGCCTACAAAACAAAAGAAATCAATTTTGAAATTACCTCTGTTGGCGGAGGTTGGAATCATCGACGGAAGTAGTAGGCAGTGGGTGGAGATGGCGCCGACCGGCGCAGGAGCAGGAACAAGAGCCGGGAGGGCGAATGCTGGCCAGAGCAGAGGCAGGAGAACGAAGAGTCAAGAGAGGCAGCAGGGCAAGAGAAACTTCTTCGACGGCTAGAGCTTGGTTCGTCGCTGAGTTCGCAGGCTGGAAGTTGCCAAATCGCTGGTTCTTGATCGACGAGCGACGGGGAGCGATGATGGGGAGCGGCGACGGGGAGCAGCGACATGGCAATGGATTTTGGGGCAGAGCTTTCAGAGCTCGTCTTTGGTTCCTCACGAAATGGAATTAGGGTTCAGTGAGCCTGAAATTTTTTCCTTTTTTATTTTTTAAATTTCATTTTATAATAGCACTGAAAAGGGGATCAATAAATTAAATGTGTATTAGGGGCAGTTGGGTGGGTGATTTGAATTTTTCAATTGCAGGGGGGAATGTGGGCGGGCTTGGGGAATTGTTTTGGGCGGGACATGGTTGTAATTTGGGGGGGTATGGTCAAATTTTGGGTGGGGAATGAGATTTGTGTCAGTTCAACATAAAATGTGTCGGCAAGGCCGATTGGTTTTAGTCTCACACGAGGTTTCAGTCTGACACAAGCAAAAATGACGAAAATTACTTTTGTCAAAACCAAAACTACTATATTATGACAAACATGCCTTTTGTCAAAGTCGAAACCACTATATTATGATGAACATACCCTTTTGTCAGCTCGCCGTGAGATTATTGCTATCTATTGTGACAAAATACTTTGTCATTTAAACAATTCAGGAATGCATAATTTTGCAAGCTTAATTGTGACACGAAATATTTGTCACATTACTCACTTTAAATGACGAAATATTCTGACAACAAGAAATTTGTCACTGTTGAGTCTCTTACATCCCGATATAGGGACACCTATTTTGACAAAATTAATTGTGACACGAAATATTTGTCACGTTATTCACTTTAAATGCCGGCTTATTCTAACAACAGTAATTTTGTCACATTAGGCATACCAAATAGGACATATATTATTTTCGTCATATCACCGTACCTATTGTGACAAACAAAAAATGACAAAATAAAGAATTTGTCCTAATAGGCCGAATTTGTTGTAGTGGCACCATCGGGGGAACCCCATCTTTTTCAGGAAATGGCATTCTGGTATTCAACCTATCATCCCGCAGGTGGAGACACTTCCCATCTGGGTGAAAATTTGGGGTTTGCCGTTGGAATATGTGGCGCAGGAGGGTCTGGAATGGGTGACTAGTACAATGGGCAAGCCGCTATGGATGGATCAGAAGACTAGAGTGGGGGGTTAGCTAGGTTTTTCTCGTGCCTGTATTGAGCTGAAAGCTGATTTTGGGTTTCCTTCCAGTATCAAGTTCTACCCTGATGATGATCCATGTTTTGAAGTGGGAATCGAGTATAGCAACTTGCCAAAGGTTTGTGCTAAGTGTGGGGTGTTTGGACACTGTTGTGGTGGTGAGGTATCTGGTCCTGAGAGGGTTTGGAAGCCAAGGACGGTTTTGGTGGAAGCTGGCAAGGGGGCTAAGGAAGTGGCTGGTGATGAGGTTTTCTGTGATGCACTGGCTGATGAGGAGCTAGCAGGAGTTGATGAAGTGATTCAGTTGGCTGTGGTGCAAGAAGTAGGCAATACAGTGGTTTAGGATCTGCAGGCTATGGGTACTCCACAAGCTTTGATTGATAAGGGCTCTCCGAGCTCTTCAGCAGTGAGTCCCTCTTTAAGTTTTGCAGCTGTGGTCAGAGGGTCGCCGAGTGAGGGGAGTCCAGGGGAACCTGTCCCAACAACTAAACAGAGTGAATCTACTTCTAAAGGTGGAGACTCAGGGACTCAGATGGCTCAAGGGGGGATTTCTGGCATTTTCCCTACTCAAGACGTGCAACCAGTTCTGGTGGGGATGGGAAAGCAGATATGGATTGATGAATCTCAGGCTGATTTTCAGGTGCTGAGAAAAGGGGGTAAGGGTGGAAAGGGGAAGAAACGTAAATCATGAAGTTGCTTACCTGGAACACTAGGGGGTTTGTAGCGGATAGTAAATACTTAGATATATATAGGAAAATAAACAAGTATGATATCAGTATAGTAGCAATATTAGAGCCGAGAATAAGGAAGAAAGAGGAAGCCAAGTTTTTGAGTAAGAGGTTTAAGGAATGGGAGAACAGGATCATTTATAATTCAGACAACTTAGGGAAGATTTGGTTGGCTTGGAAGAAGGAGATCCCTCTGAGGATTTTGCACAATTCTGATCAATTCATACACGCTCTGGTGAGTGATACTACACCTTTCTTTGCCACTTTCGTTTATGCATCAAATGAGGAGAGAGATAGAAGGAAGCTGTTTGATGATTTGAGAAGGATTAGAGTCATGGGGATGCCATGGGTGATCTTTGGAGACTTTAATGTCATCAGGAATCCTTCAGAAACCTCAAATGAAATGAGTTTGACTACTAATATGAAGGATTTTGATAGTTGGATCCTAGAATTGGAATTGGAAGACCATCAAGCAACAGGTCCATGGTTCACCTGGCTTAATAAACAGGATGCTCGTCCTATTGCAAAAAAGCTGGATAGAGTGTTAGTGAATTTTGATTGGTTGGACAAATTATCAGGAAGCTCTGTTCATTTTCAGAAGCCAGGGATATCTGACCATTGTCCTAGTCTGGTTGATACTGAGGCTGCACAGAAGTCATTACCAAAACCATTCAAGTTTTTTAGGTTCTGGATAAATCACCCTAGGTTTGATCATCTACTGAAAGAAGCTTGGGACTCAAGGGTGTCTGGTCCTCCAATGATCAGAGTGTATAAGAAGTTGAGAATATTGAAGAAATTGTTAAGGCAGCTGAACAGGAAAGAATTTTCTGAGATCAGGGACAGGGTTAAGAAGAAGGAATTAGAGCTTGAGGAAATACAGGGTGTTGCTTTGTCAAATCCTACAAGTGAGAATTTTGAAAAAGAAGCTGAGGTGTCAAAAGAGTTTCATATGTTAATTCAGGCAGAGGAGTCATTCTTAAGGCTGAAGTCTAGAGAGCTCTGGCTTAAAAAGGGTGATTCCAATTCCCCATATTTCCACAGGTCACTCAAAACAAGGCAAAGGAGAAACACTATCACTATGCTGAAAGATGAGGATGGAAACAAGGTTACTGATCTTAATAAGATGGGTGAAATTGCAGAGGGCTTCTATAGAAAGCTGTTGGGACAGAAAGATATTGAGGTAAAGGAGGAACCGGATGAGTTTTATACTATGCTAGTAAGGAGGAGAATTCCAGAAGAGGTAGATCTCTGTGCAACTGTAACTGCAGAAGAAATCAGAGAAGTTGTTTTTGGTATGAATGGTGACAAAAGCCCTGGACCAGATGGATATTCAGCAGCTTTTTTCCAGTATGCTTGGCCTGTTATTGGAGCTGAGGTAATATTTGCTATCCAGTCTTGTTTCCTTGAGAGTAGAATGCCTAGGGAAGTGAATGCAACAATCTTGGCCTTGATTCCTAAGATCCAGAACTCTTATGAAATGAGATTTTTCAGGCCAATCTCGTGTTGCAATACAATTTATAAAATTATTGAAAAGATAGTGGCTAATAGGCTCAGAACTCAACTCCCACACTTGATCAGTCTAAACCAGACTGCTTTTATTCAAGGTAGATCAATAGGGGATAATATACTGCTGGCCCATGAATTGGTTCATAAGTATGCTCAGAAGAATGTCTCCCCTCGTTGTGCACTAAAAATAGACTTGATGAAGGCGTTTGATTCAGTTGATTGGACTTTTATTTTCAAAGTTTTAAAGCATATGGGGTTTTCTGAACAGTTCATTGGGTGGATTAAAATGTGTGTTAGTACCCCTATGCTTAGTGTGGGACTAAATGGGGGGTTAGTTGGTTATTTCTCAGCAAGTAAAGGGCTGAGTTAGGGATGTCCATTATCACCTTATCTCTTTGTCATCGCCATGGAAATGTTTACTTGTATGATTGATAAAGAAGCTCAGAAGGGGCATTTCCCTTTCCACCCTATGTGCAAAAAGGTTGGTTTGACCCACCTTTGTTTTGCTAACGATTTGCTAGTCTTTTCGGATGGTTCAAATTATGGTTTTCAGAGGTTGAATGAGATTTTATCTCGCTTTAGGGTACTCTCTGGTTTGAAAGTTAATCCAAGCAAATGTGAATTGTTTTTTGGGGGTATTTCTGGCTCTGAACAGAAGATTAGGGCTGAAAGATATGGCTTTGCTCTGGGAAGATTCCTAGTGAGGTATCTGGGGGTTCTCTTGTCTTCTGGGAAGCTCACAGTATCTGCTTGCAAACCACTCATCGATAAGATAGTTGCTCGTATTAGCAGTTGGAAAACCAGATTTCTTTCATATGCTGGTAGAGTTGAATTGGTCAGTTCAGTTCTATACAGTCTCCATCAATACTGGATGGCTGTTTTCCTTCTCCCTAAAGCAGTGCTAAAGGAAGTGGAGAGTATATGTAGCAAT